GCAATGTATATGCACTCCTGACCCTGCATGTTGTGCAATACACACCCCTGTCTACTGCGCAATATGCAATCCTGAGTCCTTTGCCCTGTGCTATATGCAGTTCTGAGCACTGGACAATATGCACTCCTGACCCCTACACTCTATGTGATACAACCTCCTGAGCCCTGTGCAATATGCACCTCTTAGCTCTGCGCCCTGTGCAAATGCACTTCTGACTTTGTGCCCTACATGATATGCACTCCTGAGTCTTTTACAGTATATAAGTAGATAGCTCAGTTCACCTATCCCTCTTTATTCCACAACTGTTCCTCTTTTACAGTATGTCTATTGCACTGAGCTATATAAATACATGTACTATTTAAATAAAAGTTAAAGTAGTTACATAAAAGTTAAACCTGACTTCTTGACTGAACTCTACATGCTTAAATTGCCTATTTTTAAATTGCCAGTATGAAGGAAAAATTAGTGTGAAGGAAGTATCAGTGTGATTAAGTGAATTATAATTTTCCATATTCTTTCTTTGCTAATGTGGGCCATTGTAGACCATTGTTAAATGTGTCTTTGGCTCAAGATTTCTCCAGGGTTTGCATGACTGGAGAATGGCCTTTAATCAAATAAATTTGGCCTAAAGTTTGTCCCTTTTTCCCATCTGGGAATGCTGGGTGTTAGGCAGATATCCACAAAAGTAGCTGTAGTGCCTGTTATCATAGCCCAAAACGCTAGCAGAAATAGGTTTCACAAAATTCTGATGCTATAGCTGCTCAAGACACACCATGCTTAGCTTATCCATATACACTTATGAGCCACTTTATTAGATACACCTTGCTAGTACCAGGTTGGACCCCCTTTTGCCTTCAGAACTGCCTAAATTCTTCATGGCATAGATTCAACAAGGTGCTGGAAACAGTCCTCAGAGGTTTTAGTCCATATTGACATGATAGTATCACACAGTTGCTGCAGATTTTATGCTGTTTCCATGCTGTTTACGCTAAATTCTGACCCTACCTTTTGAATGTCGCAGCTGAAATCGAGACTCCAATTTTTGGCCAGCCTGTGCAAATTGTAGCCTCTTTTTCTTGTTATTAGCTGATAGGAGTGGCACCCAGGGTGTTCTTCTGTTGCTGTAGCTCATCTGGTTCAAGGTTTAACGTGTCCAAGGTTTAAGCAGGCATTTCCATCCACACAACTGCCACTCACTGGATATTTTCTCTTTTTCTGACCATTTTCTGTTAACCCTAGAGATGGTTGTGTGTGAAAATCCCAGTAGATCAGCTACTTTTGAAATACTTAGAACAGTCCATCTGGCACCAACAACCATGCCACATTCAAAGTCACTTAAATCTAGGGGTAACCTTGGATTTTGAATGATTCTTTCAGGCCCACATCCAATCCCTGTCCAAATCATGCTACCTCAACCTCCACAACATTTCCAGAATATGCCCCTTTTTAACCAATGATACCACAAAGCTTCTAATTCACTCTCTGGTTATCTCTTGCCTCGACTACTGCAACTCCGTCCTCATCGGCTTACCTTTACATAGGACTATTCCCCCTCCAGTCCATCATGAATGCTGCTGCCAGGCTCATCCACCTTACCAACCACTCAGTGTCTGCTACCCCTCTCTGCCAATCTCTTCAAAATACTAACAACAACTTACAAAGCCATCCACAACTCTGCCCCCAGCTACATCACCAACCTGGTCTCAAAATATCAACCAAACCGCTCTCTTCGATCCTCCCAAGATCTACTCTCTAGTTCCCATGTCAACTCCTCCCATGCTCGCCTCCAGGACTTCACACGAGCTTCTCCCATGCTTATGGAACTTCCTACCCCAATCTGTCAGACTATCTCCAAATCTATCCACCTTTAGACAATCCCTGAAAACCATTCTCTTTAAAGAAGCATATCCTGCTTCTAACTAATAAACTGCTTTTTATTTCCTCCATCAGTTTATCCCACGCAGCAATTACCTTTTGTATCACTCAACCCTTAGATTGTAAGCACAAACGAGCAGGGCCCTCTGTTTCCTCTTGTACCAAATTGTATTGCAACTGTAATGTCTACCTTCAATTCGTAAAATCAATGCGTAAACTGTTGGTGCTATAGAAATCCTGTATAAAAATAATTAATAATAAGTTGTCTTTACGACTTCTAGATGCCTAAATGCATTGAGTTGCTGCCATGTGATTGGCTGGTTAGCAGTTTGTGCTACCAAGCAACTGAACAGGTGTACCTAATAAAGTGGCCAGTTAGTGCAGAAACAGCATTTACACATGTTGCTGTCCAATTCTGAAGGTCCTAATGATATTGCACTTTCTTCCTGAAGTGTGAGGCATGTGATAATCACCCTCACTGTAAGTATTACATGCCTAAACTGATGATTTATTTGCTAACAGCTTTGCTTGACAATATGCCAACTCTAGACAGCTAGTCATTAAAGGGAGCATGTTAAAGGGGACCCGAACTCAAAACGTAAAGATTTGCTATGTTATAGGGAATATTTAGAAATGCTAATTGTTCCTAAGCAGTAACCTTATAAACACACTTTTTGTCTTTAATTTCTCTTGCAAAATAGCAGTAGTGTACTTCCTAGTATGTGAAGGTGCCTAGGCACTCCTGTGCATACAGCCTCATATCTGTATATCTGCAGTGTGAGATTTAAGGCACAAGGCACTGCTGCTTCTGCCTGCTAAACTCATGAGATTTGGAATGAGGTTTGATCATGTGCTGAATCCAAGTGTACAATCAAAACGCACGCGTTCCTGCGTAAAAAATGGTTGTATGTGTAAGTGGGTGCTGCAGCGACCGTCGGCTGGAACCAAACAGAATCAGCAAGGGAGAATGTCACCAGCACACCAAGGATCACCAAAATGGGTTCAAAAGTTTTAATGAACGATCACATAGTTACAGCAAAGCAACGTTTCGGAATCTCACAGGACCCCTTCATCAGGCATGTGATGAACATTTCTATTTCAAAGTTGAAGTCACAGGACAGAATGACAGACCTTTAGACAAGAGACAGGACTCACCCTTTGTGATGTATCTGGATGATAGATTAACTAGCGGACTCCTCTGTCCATGCATTGGCGATTACTGCATGTTTGATATCCGTGACCAATTATTGCCCCTCCTGATTCTTTGCCGTCTCCGACCCTTTGAAAAAGGGGTGTGCTACTTTCAGTAACAAGGGCTATGGAGTGACCAGATGTGCCGACTTCGCTGTCTGTAGAAGGATTCTCAGTTAGACGCTCACTCTTAGATGAAATCTAGTGGCTTCCTTTTGTTGGCTTCTGGGGTAGAGGTCGAGTACATAATCTACTCCTGGGCCTAGAGGTCCCAGTTAACCATGGGTAAACTCTACCTTCTTGGTAATCCTGGTTTACCAGTTTGAATTTGTTCCTTTTAGACTGCTTCTGTCTTATGGTGTATGTGGCAATCTCGTTAACAATCTCCTGCAAAGCAGAGGTCTGATTTTCAGTATCCTGTGTCGGTAATTCCAACACTGCAATTTCACATTTCACTTGGCACAGCTGAACCTTGACCTCTTCAATAACTAGTAACATATGTTCAATGAGTTCTGGGTGGAAACCTCACACCATTTTTCACAGAAATCTCGTTTATGATGTCCAATGGTGGGCTGATTTCTAATCTGGAAATCCCTCAAAATTTTTCTTGCTCTGTAGTACTCAGACAGAGTCTGGCTGTGCAGCTCCAGATCAACCTGTCTTTTCTTCAAGCGTTTGAGTTTCCTTAATCAGTCAGTGACTGTATCTGTTCAAAATGCTTTTTTGGTGTCAGGTGGAAAGAGTATTGCATCAATCTCTTCCTGATTGTAAATGCATCCAAAATGACTTGATGATGCAATATCTTCAGAGGCCATTTAGTTATAGACAATCCTCATGATTGGATCAATCGGTGAATGTGATGCCCCAGTTTTCTGCAGGTACATCTGGTACATACCCTCATGGTGGGTAGCCAGCAGGGGTGCTGTATGGGAAACCAGTCCAGAATGCAAGTGCACAATCCAAACGCACACGTTCCTGCATTAAAAATGGCTGTGTGTATAAGTGGGTGTTGCAGCGACCATGGTTGGAACCAAACAGAATCAGCAAGGGAGAATATCACCAACACACCAAGGATTACCAATATGGGTCCAAACATTTTTTTATAGATGCTGGCTCTTTAGCAGGCCAGAGGTTTGCAACCTTGAGGTTAGGATAAAAGCAATACTCACCTTATCCCCATTTTCTATACCCCTTCTCTGATCCCCCCCCCAAACTAACCCCCCCTCTCCTCTTACATCCCCCCCCCCCACGGATCCTACATTCAAGGTTGTGCTCTCTGCAGTGCACTCCACAATACCTGGAATGTTGGAATTGTCTTACCCTTTCGACTACGTGCAAATATGAATAAAGTTTTGACAAAAAAAAAAAAGAATAAAAGTGGTACATGTAAGGAACCCTAAATATAGGGAAAGAGTGGATAATTGTGGACGTTTTTTGACTGCACATGAGTGGACAGTAAGAGTTAGTATAACTAAAGAAGGGTGAATGAGATGTATGAACTTTATGCAATTGTTGTCTAGGTTTCTTGCTACAAAAATAGAACAGCTATTTATTGTAGTCATATTACTACTGTCAAAAAGTTAAAAACAGACTGCCACAGAAAAAATTAGATTGTACTTTAATATATAGATTTTCATCTATCTAAAACTGATACAGTTCAGTTTTAAGAACACACAGCAGAAAGACAAACAAGATATACATTACAACACTGGTGCAAGCAGGGGCAGACTGACCATTTGGAAACTCGGGCATTGCCCGAGGGCCCAGGGTCAATAGGGGGCCCCATGAGATGCCCCTGGTACCTTTTTTCATAGGCTTTTTTGAGTTTGGGCAAGGGCACAGGGGCCCCATGATCTCTTATTGCCCGGGGGCTCCATGAGTTGTCAGTCCACCCCTGGGTACAAGTACAAATTGCACATTGAAATAGGACTTACAACCATTCCAGCCTGTGAAGATCTCGAAACACTCCAGGTTTAAGGGTGCTTATTGCATTATAGCTCAAATAACTGAAAAACAGAAAAAAACAACAGTCTTATGGGCAAATTCCTTATACATTATCTATGTCTAATCTTATCACTTAAATAAAATAGATTTTGAAAGCCATCTTTGGGTTACAAGGTTAACAAAAATGACTTAAACAAATAAAAAAATGACAAAGTTATGTTAGATATCAGTTACTAAATGGAAAAGTGTAAACCTATAGTGAACATTTCTGTGCAGTGGTGTTTAGATTAAAGCGGTAGTAGAGTTATATACAAAAAAAAAAAGTCTGATCCGCCTGCAAGGTAATATAATGTGCTAGTATGCATCTTGTACAAGCACACTATGAAAAATGTACCTTGAAATGGAGCCCTCCAGCAGTGCGCTGTCACTAATTGACTGGGATTCCAGCTTCACCCGGTCTTCCTTCCGATTCTGCGGGCTCCAGCCACTTGAATGACTGAGCCACGATGACGTTACAGTCATGGCACAGAGCTCCAAAGGAATGGCATGAGTATGCCGTTCCTTCAGAGCGCATGTGCTGGTGAAGTCACCGGCTGCCAGACTGCACGTTTAGGAGATATTACTTTTATCTACAAGTAAGCTTATCTGTATGTAAAAATCACAATGCTGAGTTTACTACCGCTTTAAAGTGTGACTTCATTTTTAGTGGCCAAACTCAGCCACTGCAACTAGAAAAGGAGAATGCACACTGCACATGCATGCAGCTTGAATGGCCCACTAGGAGGCACACACTTGTAGCATCCAGTCCATCCTTCAAACGGTAGGATGGAGAGGTATCGAGGGGCTAGTAGTTTCTGTAGAGAGGTCCTCATTGGATGCATATGAAAAGTAAAGCCACAGCAACATTTTAAAATTAGGACTGCTGGCATTTATTATTTATGGGATTTGGAATTGCATAGGGGGAATTTTGTAAACTTTAACTAAAGGTGAACTTATAGTTTAAAAAAGCTTCCTAGCTCCATACGCCAGGATGCTCAGTGTGCTTTGCTTCATTGTCCCATACCGGGCCTCTTGGCTCACCAGCAGAAGTTGGCTTCCTATTTGTTTTTGGCAGCCAATAGAACAATTGCTCAGGCCTGAAGAGCCCATTTGTCCCTCTTCGGGGGGTGCGGCACCATATGACCACTATGATGCTTAATGAACAGATGGAACTTCTTGAAAATCTGGGAGCCGTGGTTGCAATATGCCTTTCCCACACTACCCCCGGCTAGTCTGGGGTTGTGATGTTGCTTGGTATTGGCGTTCTTGGACCCCTGCTCTTTGTCTTGTTATCTTTTTCCTTTTGTACTCTTCTTTCCTTTTCTGTTTGTTTTTGGTGTTATACTAATGTTTTTGTCATTTATGTGCCATTGATAGCCCCTGTGTGGGCACACCTTTTGCTCTGTTGGTGTTAGAGCACTGTTTTTTTAAATTTTTTTTATTTGCAAATGATAGCCCCTGCGTGGGCGTGTTTTATTGCTCCTGCCTTAAACTGTTTATAAATTAATAAAAATATTGAAATACAAAAAAGCTTCCTAGAACCATACAATGTAAATTCTTTCAAATATTTGCTCAAAAGAATCTGCTGAAACTTCCAACTCCATTGCTGCCTACTGCCACGGTGGACTTCCCATCCTTAGTAACATGCCTCACAAGGCACAAGGAGAGAAGAGACAATAAACCTAGATAAAAAGAATATATAACAGAATGTCTTTTAACAGCAACATTGTGTACTATCCCTGATAGCCTTGCTACCCAAGGTGACCTATGTTGGCTATGCAGAAATCCATCTCTGGATGCAAAGGTAGCTTGACTGACTAGGCAGTGCATCAAATCAAATTAACATCTCCCATCCTAAAACATTTCACATATAGCACAAGTACAGCTGCTACCAAATATTTAGTTTGTGTTTCAAGAAACTTCTTTGAGACAGAATGCAAGCAAGCCACTTGTGAGATGCAATGTACAAAGAAGCTTTAGTTTTTTTTGTGGTATCTAAAGACATCTTCCTGAAGGCTATGGCCTTACACTTAGGGGTTGATTCACTAAAGGCAAATAGGCTGTGCATTTTGCAAAGTGCGGTTGCACTCTGCAAGTGCAGTTGCTCCGGAGCTTAGTAAATGAAGTAAAGTTTCCTTTTTCCAAGAATACCCAATCACATGCAAGGTAAAAAAAACCCAGCATTTTTGCTTGCACATGATTGGATGATGGAAGTTAGCAGAGCTTCTGCTCATTTACTAAGCTCTGGAGTAACTGCACTTACAGAGTGCAATTGCACCTTGTAAAGTGCACAGTCTAATTTCCTTTAGTAAATCAACCCCACAGAATGACTCTGTCACCAAAGGCTCTCATTTAACTTAGGAAAACTTGTAAAACAAGAGTATCTGTACTTACCTTTCTGTCAGTTCGTATATTCAATCCTTGTTGCTTTGCTGCTCCTGACAGCTGTAGGTATTCAACACGTTTGGGTGTGTTGAATTCTTGCTTCCACAGCAACTCGCTGTAAATTCACCTACTACCTATATTTCTCCTAGAATTATTTAGGAACCATAAATAGGAGACACAGCATGCAGTAAGCCCTATAGTTTGTTCTATAGTTATTTATGAACCATAAAGAGGAGATACAACATGCAGTAGGAGGACAAGGTAGTGTCAAATACAGAGTGCAAACACATGTGCCATATAGATGTTTTTTCATAGAGTGTGTTTAAGGTATGATAGGTTCTTTTTAAATGGCTATAGGTATTTAGGGTGTGATACAGTTATTTTAAAGGGTTATAGACATTTAGCTATTTACATACTCTAAAAAAGCAGTAAGCCCTGATTTGAGTTATTTTATCCAAGGGGTGTGCTAATAAATATTAAATTGAAGGTGCCAATACTTTTGTCCAGTCCATTTTTGGGGTTTTGCGTGGAATGTGTCAGATTTGGCTTTGTGTTTCTCCACTTTTTTTGTGTCATACCAATACAAACAAAAGAAATAAACATGCCTAAACTTTTGTAATTGCCACAATTTTCTGGGTGAAGTGGTGCATTATCTGACAGGGGTGCCGATAATTTTGGTCATGACTGTAGGAATTTGTTTACTCTGCTATGTTTATCATAAACCATTGGTTATAGGTAAATATTACCAGGTAAATTCCCATGTAAAACAAGATGGTACTTACAGCTTTGTTAAGTTGTGGAGTCCTCTGAATGCATTCACGGATACAGTCCTAATCTTATTATGTTGCAGATATCTAGAAGGATACAAAACACAAGACAAAGCATGTTAGCAGACGTAGGATGGATCAGGTTGCTACATCTGTGAACACTAGATGGAGCTGAAGAATACAAGAAATAAAGGCATAGCATTTCTGGCTAGTAATTTTAGTTTAGAATTCAAATTCTATGCAATATTATACGGGGCTGTTCTGTTTGCTATTTTAAAATCAAGCATTCTACTGCCACTCAGTGATGTAAACATCCTGTATCAGCTCTCTGGAGAACATGTTATCTGAGCGCCAATGAAATCCCCTTGTCCTTGAAACAGCATAGCATGCTAATACATTCTAGATTCATTACCTAAAGTCTTAAACTGGTAGAGGAGAAATGCACGCAAAGCAGACCAATTACAAATGGCATTATTTTGATACTCTAATATTTACTAAACAGTGAACAACAAATAGAAGCGTTGATTACTTTTCAAATAAACTAAAAAAGTATTTTTAGTAAACCAATAAATAAGGTTTTCCTCCACCTGTTAAAGAGAAACTATGCGCATAATAACACTTATGAGGCAGTCTCTAACTAGCAGTTTTTGTGTTGTGGAGTTTCCCCGTGGCATAGATTTATGATTTGTTAATCCTGCCAGTAGATCTGTTATTTTTCTACTGCCCAAAAGGAGAGAACGCTGCTTGACATTGAAATTACATTGCAGCATTGTCACCCTGGGGATAGGGTAGTCTAAGATGGAAGCCTGTAGCTTTAAAAGGGCTGTAGACTAATAGTAAACAGAGAAGTGTTAATTGCTATAATTCATTCACATAAATCATATTTATCATGCCACTGTATTTTTTTCAAATCCTGATTAGTGCTGTGCTAGTCACATGATTAAAAATAAACAGTTTTAGAAGAGCAATAAAATTAAATTCTAAATATCAAAAAACTGTTTTACAGCTTCCTAGAAATCTTTATTGGACATCAAATGTGTATTTTTGTGCGTTAACATGGTGTAGGCAGAGTTAAAGATGATTGACACCATTTTGTTCAGACAGCATCTGCTTCCAAGGCTCTTTTTCACTTTACAGGGTAAGCAACTAAATTTGATTAAATGAAAACTGATTTATATGATAACTAAGCTTTTTTTTTGTGGGTTTCTTAGTGAATGTAATCAATCTGCATACTATATCCCACCCCCATAGTGTTTAGCAATAGGAGGACATGGAGGAGGAGGAAGGGAAGGGAGTGTCATTTACCACTGTGTACATGCCCACAGGTGTGACTCTATACTCACGTGGGCTGCACAGATAAAAAAAAGGAGGAAATTAAGAGTATAGAAGGGAACCAAATTGGGAGCATGCTCAGTAGAGGACACCAGCTGGTTTACACAATCTCAGCCTGCAATGGGGACACAGAGAAGATGAAAGGGAGAGCTGACAGCAGAATCAACCAGGCATATTTCACTCTACACAACACAATGCATTAGTGGCTTTGTGAGTATGCACAATCTGTTATATAGAATGTAATTAGAGTATTTCATAGCCTGGGTTTAATGACACTTTAGGTAAGAGACAAAAATTTAAAACCAGACTCCAGCAAACACTTTTAAGCAGTTGCAGTAACCTACTGTGGCTATCGTTTGGAAAACAGGTGTAGGCTATTTGAATAGTGGATTAGTGGTTAGCACTTCTGCCTTGCAAAACTGGCACCAGGGGCGGACTGACCATTTGGCAACTCGGGCACTGCCCGAGGGCCTGGGGTCAGTAGGTGGCCCCATGAGATGCCCCTGGTACCTTTTTCATAGGATTTTGAGCTTGGGCAAGGACACAGGGGCCCCATGATCCCCTATTGCCCGGAAGCCCCATGAGTTGTCAGTCCGCCCCTGACTGGCACCCTAACTTTGAATCCCTGCCAGGACACTATCTGGCTTGCATGGTTTTTCTCAGGGTACTCTGGTTTCCTCCTACCCTCCAAAGACATGTTAATAGGCTAATTGGCTCCAAAATTGACCCTGTGTATGAATGCATATGCAATAGGAACTCTACATTGTAGGCTAATGTAATGTAAAGTATATAAAATGCTGCATAAAAATATTGGTGCTATATAAATAAAAATATATTCCCGTATGATAAATAAAGTTAATTATTGCAAACACCCCAGCAGTATTATACAGTGTATTCCAACTCCTGTAACTGTCACCTTTGCAGGTTGATAGCTTGGTCTACATGTAAATGTGAAGAAAATCTAAATAAGTGCATGTAAAAAAAGAATTAACATACTAAATACTATCATTTCATGTACTAAGCACATACAATTACCAGGATACAATTTTTTTTACTGTGGGGTCTTGTAAGTGTGTTTAAAACAAGCTGATTAAATACAAGTAATTTTGCCACATTTGATAGGAAGGCATTAATGGCAGACATTTCTTTCTGAGCTAACATTAACAAAAAAGGAATCATTTGTGGTTCACATAGAACCTGATCTAATGTGAGTCAACATAGCATGGTTATACTTTGATGTTATCCTGAGTGTAACACTAAAAATGAGTTATAAAGGAAATAAGAAAATAATGGCCAACTTCAAGAATCTACAAATTTAAATTTAATTTGGTTATTGGGAATTTGGAAACCTTAAAAGAAATGTTTAACAGTGAAAGTGTATATAAAATGGAAACATTTTCACAAACTACCTGAAAGCATTACACATCTTAGTGTAGAGACAGACTAAAGTAGAAAATACGATTAAGGTCAAAGAACTGAGATTGTTGCTGTTAAATAGAATCTGCCACATTTTCAAGTTCTTTCTTTCTTGAAAGCTCAATTTAAGCTTTGAAATGTAATAAAATGACACAATGTTGGCACTGTACACAGAAAGCATGGTAAAAAGCCATGAAAAATGTTTCTTTTTTGCTAGTATCTTAAGTGTTTACCATTTTTCTAAGAACTGAAGAATTGAATATCGTTATGTTTAGCAAAGTTTACAAATGTAATACTTATTCACCATTGTTGACACATTTCATGCCTAGAAAAATAACTGTACCAACCACAAGATCCACAAACCAAAAACCAGCAATTGGCTTGGTGACTAATTTCTGCAGTTACAATAATGTATGTCCTTAGAATTTGAAGTTTATTTTTAGATTTGGCTATAGAGTAGAAGGGTTACAACCTCCCTATTTTTTCCAGCCTGTGTCCCATTGAGGAGATATCCCTTCATTTTATTTTCAAAAGACACAACAGTAAGTAAAATTAATTTTTTCTAAATAGTTGTCCTGCAATACAGACCAGAAACTAAAACTTGACTAGAGTATCTATAGTTAGAAAGGGTGAAATTAGTTCATTTGGAATGCTTTCAGTTTTTTCCATTGACTCTGATTTGTAAAATTTATCTCATTGCAATGACATTATAAGCAATTCATTTTTCGCATGACGAATGCACAGAAGCTCGTGCTTGCGAATTAGTGTCCTCTAAGTATACCCATGACAAGCAGATTTTGAGGTTGATTTCTCTCTTGGTTTCAGGTATTAAAGTGAGTATTGTTTCTTTTGCATTTTTTCTTAAAGAGTAACTCCACTTATGTTGAGAAAACATATTCCCCTCTGGGTGTTCACTGCAGGAATTTTAACAAACTTTGTTGCAGAATCCTACCTTTTGTCATTCTGGAGACAGAGTGAATCTAATGGGAGTGGTTTCATAATTATCAATCAGCTGCTGCACCTGCAGAGCTCTAATGAGGAAAATTGCAGGGTCTGCATCCCTTTAGATATGATTTCCTATTGGGAGAATCTCACCAAAAATTACATTTATGTTGCAGGAGATGACTGAAATCTGACTTGTATCTTAGTGCAGACTTCTGGGGAAATCAGTGAGCCAATCACACAAACAAAAATGATGTTTCTGGGGAGCATTCTGTACACATTTTGTATACAGAACACCTCCAGATAGCCATAGTAGCCATATGCAATGCATTTTACAGTGTTGCAGATTGAAAAGAAAAGATCATTTTTAATAACATTCAATTACAATATGACATGTGTCACAATTGTATACACTATGTTTTTTTTTTTTGCTATTTTTTCCCCCACAAAAGTGGAGTTACCCTTTAAAGGTTTGTAGTACAATACAAGATAAGAAAATCACAGAAGAAAAGTAGAGAGCATTGACAAGTAATTACTCATGAGAATACAGGCCACATCACACACAGAAATAGCACAGATACAGTGATACAAGTCCTGAAGTCCTGATAAAAGGAAAAGTTCATTTGAGGGATCAGAATGCAATAGAAAAAGGAAAGCATATACAAAACTGTATAAAACAATCTTATCTTGTGGAATACAATAAATGAGAATAAACAGATGTTGGAGTTGTATGTGTCCGAGACTCATTCATACATACGTATGGCAAAATCTAGCCATGTGTTTATGCCAGAGAGGAGGTACAAATCCATATGTCTGAGGGATTATTAAGAAACAAACTGAAGAGGACACAGAAAGCACAGTCAAAAAAAACAAAACTTGCAAAAGTGAAGAAAAGCCATGAGACAGCACACCCAGCTGGACAGCAACACAGCATACCGGTCCAGGAGGAAGAAGGGGGGTAGAAAGTGGTAGATGGGCCTAGAGGGTTGAAAACTCCCAGCCAGGATTTATCTGAACTCATAAGAGAAGGCAAATAAATTTTGATAAAACCACATTTTATGGCATTGTTCCTCGCTGTCATGTAACTTACTAGTTAGTTCCTCCATATGTTGAATATCCACAATACAACAAAACCATTTCTGAATTAAAGGACGGGTTGCAGATCTCCAATGTGCAGGTATGCACTAACAGACAGCATTAAGTAAGGGTATTACAGATTTCTTGAAGGCCTTCAGGGGTTTGTCATTGTGATGTAGAAGGAAGTAGAATGAATCTGGAGCTACCCAGTCAGTACATTTTGTAAGTACATTGCGCACCTGGAAAGGCTTAATAACCGGACATGACCAGAAAATAGGGAGATCACCTGGTGACTCACCACATCTCCAATACATCGCATGATGTCTTGCAGGAGTCTGATACCATCGTGTGACGAGTTTGTACCCTAGTTTGCAGTATTTTCTGCTAATAGATGGTTTGTAGGAGAGTAAGTGTATTTGGAAATGTTCTGCAGACATCAGCAACACTGTAGTTTGAGCATTCTACTGTAGGAACAATTGATAGGTCCCATTTAAAGTATGATGTCAAGGTCCAGAATTATGACATTCCTGTTCAAAAGGCATGAAATCTCTCATAAATAAACATGCCTTATTAACAGATTTGAAGAAACAGGACAATTGTAAAGTGTGTAAGGGACCCAACTTAGAGAATAGCGAATTGTGGGGCATGTGAGTGGGCAAAAGCCATTTACTACTCTAAATGCAGTAAATTGAACCATACCTCTGTTCATGACAGAGAGGCTCAAAAGACACCTCAGTCTGGCCAGGTGGGAAACTAGGATTTCCTGGAATTGGAAGAAAGGAGGGGGAGATGCCTAAGGGTTTCAAATGCATTAGTACAAGTTCACCAAGTAGCAGCAATAGTGGGGTGTTTGGCAAGAACTTGATAGGGAAGTGAGGAGTTCCAGGGAAATACAGAAAATGGGGTAGAGAAAAAAAAATTTACTCTGGAGAAACTTATTTTTCATATGAATGCAGTTCCAGCCAACGACTATTCTGAAGTTTGAGTTTACATTGTATAATCACACTTCCTGCTGAAAACAAGTGACATTTAGCTGCATGACAAAGTAGATGGAGCCAAGAATGTTTAAGAGTTTTGGTGATGATCACTCTGTCCTGAAAAGAGGTCCTGAAACAATGGTCTGTGCTGCCTGTTGCTTATTCCTATGATTTCATGGCAACGTCATGCGCTAATTCACTACAGCACCTTACATGAACTGTGGGTAAGCCTGTAAGGAGTGTGATGGATACAGTATAACCTCTCTTGGGATTCAGCACCTCTGGCAGAGAGCCCAGCCAAATCCTGGACCTCCTGCAGACTACAACTTAATTAAGCAATAAAGCCTGAATCAGGACCCACTCTGACCTGTGACTGGAGAAGAAGTCATCTCTCCTGTACACAAGCTCATAGGGATAGATTGATAAAACTGTGCAAAACCTTGGCTGAGTGGACTGAGCCTCCATCTCTTAGAGTGGGAGTTGCTGAGCAGAGGATTATAGATGGTTGATACCATGAATGATTTAGGTGCATTTACTTTTCCCATACAAAAATAAATCTGCCTGGAATTTAGCTTTAAGAACAGTACAATACTTATACTCAAATATCCCAAATACTAAAAATGTGTAGCCAAATGAAAAAAAAAAAAAGACGTTATGTTAAAGCGGAACAACACCCAAAAGGGGAAGTTCCACTTTAAACCTTTTCCCCTGCTCCCCATTAAGGATTTGGGGAGTGGGGAGCGGTACAAGTACCTGCTCCCACTTCCGCTGCGATCGCTTAAGGCGAGCGGAAGATGTCCTCCTGCTCCCTCCCCATAGTCTTCTGGGACACGTGACAGGTCCCAGAAGACTATGGGACCATTCACAAAGCGCAGAGCTACTCACGCATGCGCAGTGTGCACCCAGCTGTGAAGCCACAAGCTGTCACAGCTGGCTGCCCACAGTGAAGATGCCGGCACCAGGGAGAGAAGACAGCTGGTGAAACCAGCCATGGTGAGGAAACCGCTGGACTGAGGGACAGATAAGTGTCTATATTTTAAAAGTCAGCAGCTACAGTTTTTGTAGCTGCTGACTTTTATTTTTTTTTTATTCAACTGGAACTCCACTTTTACTGCTATAGTTACTTTAAGTCAGTGTTAGTGGCGTGGGTGGTGTTGGAAATGTGTTAGCTGGAATTAGTATAAAGAGACCTTATGAAGAGAGTGTATGAATTGGTTGTTATTAATTTATGTTGTCAAAATGGAGGCAAGATACAGTAAAATAGAGAGCCATGACAAAAAAAATGTATATATACAGTATATATATATATATATATATATATATATATATATTATATATAACTATTACAAAAATTATAAATTTACCCATGAATGATTTCGTAGCATGCTATGAAAGGGCGTTAAAACAGAATTAAAGAAAAAAAAATGAAAGTAAATATTAATAAACATTCTATACATTTGGCAGCAAAGGGATGTCATTTGGGGCTTAAGTCCTCATTGCCATTTACAGATGTTTTTCTAAGATATGCAGTGATTTTAGTTTATTACAGGTACTTATATAGCGGCATCAATTTACACATGCTTTACATATATATTGCACATTTACATCAGTCCCTAACCTGCATACAATCTAAACTCCCTAACATACATTCACATACTAGGGTCAATTTAGACAGGATCCAATTAACCTACCAACATGGCTTTGGAGTGGGGGGAAGAAACCCATGCAGGCACAGGGAGAACATGCAAACTCCAGACAGGTGGTGCTGTGGGTGGGGATTCAAACCAACAACCCTAGTACTGCCAGGCAGAAGTGCTAACCATTTAGCCACTAATTTTGTTTGGAACCATTTCTTTGGGGTTCTTTTCTAGAACAATATCACACTAAGGGGTCCATTTGGAAAGGTGTGAAGATAATATATCATACCTTTAGTTTTAATATATCAAAATGCATTGCAATTTTCCCACTTCCTACTAATTCACCGTAATTTTAATGGACACTTTACAAGGCATTGCTTATGCTACATTTTCAAAGTGAAGTGTTTTACTATGCTTCTCTTATTTATAATGCTGCAAATACTTATGTTGTCATTTTCAAGTCAAAGTGCAAATGTCTTTCTCACATTAGGGCATCTTTATCACTTCTAAATAAATTTTCCATCCTGAATATTGCCCTGGGAGAGAGAGTGTTGGCAGGCCATGGCTTTAGCTTTCCCTGCAGTGCTATGATAGTGCCCATATGCATGTTGCTTCCATAGAAAGTAATGGTGCTCATACTCCTATCATGAAACTTATGATTTTGGGTACTATTGTATTGCTACAGGGAAAACTGGAGCTGTGTCCTGTAAACACTACCTAGCCCTTGGCAAGCTGACCAAATTAGAGATTTGTTTAGAGGTGACCAGGAGGACCTGAAAGGTATAGTGAGTGTTACAAGACATTGTGGTTGATTTACTAAAACTGAAAAGTGCTTAATCTGGTGTAGTTCTGCACAAAAACCAATCCACTTCCATTTTTTTTGCCAAAGCTTAATTGAACAAGCTGATGTTAGAAACTGATTGGCTACCATGCACAGCTGCACCAGATTTTGCACTCTCCAGTTTTAGTAAATCAGCTCCATTAACTTTTTAGCAAAATCTCCAAATTTGTATCACCATATCACATTGATTCCTACATTTGGGTAGTTTAATAGTTGGCATAAGAAGAAATGAAAATGTATCCAAGCAATACACAGAACTGGTTACATTATGTGATCCAATTCTCATACAGTTTGGAGCTTGAAACTACTCGTGAAACCTATTGTATTTTCTGTAACTGCATAGCTAACCTTTGCATACAAAGTAATTAAATGTAATACTATACACTGCTTATTGAATGATAAGGTATAGAGCTATTGGGAAAAGAAGAATTCTGTTAAGCACTGTTTACATGTAAGCCTGCCTTAATTTCATCCAATTCCTGCTGCCATGAGAGGCCCTGTTGGTACTATACCCAGGTGCTGGCAAGGGAGACTGCTCCATCCATGCTGTTTAGCATTGATGGAGGAAATGTTTATTTTTCCTTTGTTCAAAGGAGAAAATGTTATACATGTATGGGTAGCCTTAGACTAACTGACGAAACAGCAATGCCAGAGCAAAATAAAAAAAAAAGATGAAACTGACCCTTTGGGACTTATTTACTAAAGGAGAGCAATTGTGAGGGTGCAGGTGGTGTGTCAGAATGTTGGAGGAAGAACATTGTACTCACACAAAGGGCAGCTTTCCTTATCTTAAATTTCTTGCCAAGAATCTGACTTTTAGCCTGGTGCTAAAGCACAAATAAATCAATAATAAATGTAAGACATTCAAAAAGTTGTTTTTGTGCATCTTCTGCATTTCTTGTTTTCTGTTTTATCATCTGCATCTGCACTTTAGAGAAGTAAGCAATACAAGTAGTTGACCCTACACACCATCTCCCGACCTCTGAGAGTGCATAACAATGTCGGACCTGTTCTTATAGGTGTCCACATTCCTATTAACTACAGGACTCTGTAATCTGCTACAATTATTTGCTTTCAGATGCTAAAAAACATTGGGGTTGATTTGCTAAAGAGTAGGGACTTTTCACTTATCAAAGTGAATATTTTTTGAGCTATGTAAAGGCTCACATTTTTTTATCTTCATATATTCTATGCATGAAGGTAAAAAACCTTCTGTGTGCAGCAATCCCCTAGCCTCACTAATACTTACCTGAGCCCCATCGCAATCCTGCAATGTGCACAAGAGCAGCGGCTCTCCTGGGACCTCCTCATTGGCTTAGACAGCAGCGGAAGCCAGTGAGCCAATGAGGAGAGAGTGGGGGCAGGACTAAGTCATGCTCTGTGTGTGTGAATGGACATGCAGAGCAGCGGCTCAGGAGCAAGCCTGCTTGGATGCCCCCATAGCAAGCTGCTCATTTTGGGGCCACTTGGCAGGAGGGAGGGGCCAGGAGTGCTGTCGGGGGGGACCCGAGAAGAGGAAGATTGGGGCAGGTAAGTGGGACATGTTTATTATTTTAAAAGAATGCCTTTAATATCACTTTAATAATCCAATCAGGTGATAGCAACATTATTTTGAACTTTCTCCTCTACTTGATTGGGTACCTAAAGTGAATGCAACTTCACCTTATTCAGTGAACAGCTTTTCCTCCTTTAGTACCACGACACCCATATGTGAGTTCAGCCAGCTGACAGGGCAGCATCTGTCTTAAGTGACCTTTAATTCCTTACACTCCAGCTGTGCAAGTGTAAGGGTCAGAGAAAACATTTGTGCCATAACATCATAACAGAGGAGTCACATATCCAGAGGAGAGATTCTTTCCCACGCTGTCTGTTTGGTCCATTTAAAGGGGGGCTTCCTGCAGATTTTTGTTCAACATATTGCGCTTTAATTATGTGTATCTGGTGAGTGTGCATTTTTATCAATCTCCCTCATGGATAAAGCCACATGGAATAATTTGATACCACCTGTGCAATAGGATCTGTTTGCAACACTGTATGCTGACCCGATTGTGTCATGCCTTCACTACCTTCTGAACACTCTTTGCTTTAAGACTTTCACAGTTGCACTTACTTTATTGCGCCAATCATAGCGCTCCATCCACCTATATTTGCTATCACTTATATCAATTATTGATTTATTATTATCATCACCAATAATTATTCATTATTTAATATGTTTTTTCAGTTTTACACTGTGTAATTTTTTTGCGCTGCACTGGTTTCTGTTTGTATTATATGTAAGGCCCAGGTTTCTTTTTTTTGTGCAATTGCGGCTGATTTAATTGGATCCCTGAGCATTCGCTGTTTTCTTTGTCTGTTTTTACCATAACACCAACACTCCTAACCAGGGGCGGACTGACAACTTATGGGGCCCCCGGGCAATAGGGGATCATGGGGCCCCTGTGTCCTTGACCAAACTCAAAAAAGCCTATGAAAAAGGTACCAGGGGCATCTCATGGGGCCCCCTACTGACCCCGGGCCCTCGGGCAGTGCCCGAGTTTCCAAATGGTCAGTCTGCCCCTACTCCTAAGACTGTAGCAGAGTGCCTATTTACTCATTATACTTAGATTCTGGCATGGACTCTTTAACTCCATTTCCCACATCTCTCTGGGTTCCTGGACACACCTATGGAAGAAAGGTTATTCTGCCTCCCTCTCTCAGCAACTCAGAGGCCACACTTGATGAAGCAGAAGTAGCTGGGAAAGTGATCTGCAGCCAGGTGAGAAGCCCTCCACTGTCAGAACCAGTGTGTGGGCATCCAGGTAAGAGACTAATACCATGCAGTCTCTCTGGAAGTCCTTTCCTGATTTCTAGCAGAGTACTACACTTCCAGTGGAGTAGATTTTTGTCCTTGGGTCTTGGATCCATCCAGTATTTCACCAGTGTTACCAGAGCTACCCTGGACTTCACTGAGAGGGATGTTGTTTATGAGGAGAAGCACAAGTAGCTGTGTTCTGCACTGTTTATTGAAGGTTTATTGAATGTTACTGAAGTAGTGATTCTCAGCTAGACTCCCTGTAGTTAAAGAGTCTCATAGAAGCTGTTCTATCTAGCCATATTTTACTTTGATTGAAACAAACTTTGCTGTGAAGACTCTGTAAAGTTTTCATAAGTTGGTGTAGTTCACTATTTTGCAGTGTACGCATGATTTATGCCATCCAAAATCATTTTTACAATATTGCTTCCTTGTTTCTGTTTACTAAACTGCTCTCTGTCTGATCATTTGCCTGATTGGTTATTCTTTTAAAAGGCTATGAAGGAATGATAATTTAAAACGGAATATTAAAGTTCTTGCATAAGCCCAGTCATTACTGCTTCTCTTTAAAAGCACCCATGGGACTGCAGGCAGTATATAAAATAAACCAAACACAGACAATTTCTTGGACGATAACTTGGCTGCGGTCATTTTATTATTGGTTTTAACAAGAAATAATCTTAGTGGTTGTAAACCTAAAAACACAAATCAAACCAATCCTACAGTTGAATAGATTTTACCTTTACTAAGCATTTAAGCTTAGTTTGGTATCTTGAAGCAATCCCCTTCTCCAGAAATCCCCCCTGCTCTTCTGAACAGAATAAATCCGACACAAGCAGAAAAACGGTGTCACCACTCCCCTTCTGCTGTGAGTGACAGACTGTGCTGAAGACGAGACCAGAAAGAGCCTCCGTGTAATACACTGCAAAGGGGTGGGGGAGAGGGTGTCCTCTCCCTGCTGATCTCTGCCTTCACAAGATCGAGAACTCAGCAGCAGTGATTTATGACATAGATCGGCATCACTTCAGTAATGCTGTAGTTATCTAGCTAAGTCCGCTGACAGCTGATTATTGTCCTGTTCTATTCACAGCACCTAGCTTGTGAATTGCTGTTTACAGAGTTTTACATGAGGATGTTTCCTGATCCACATTGCCACTTTAGGATGCAGGATTCCTAGGAATTTTAACATCAACCCCTTCCTATCAGCTTTCTCCTGATTAGCACAGATCCTATGCTGTAAGCAGAGCTGACATAGTCACAGGCACCTATGTATTTCCCTGAATGCACTCAGGAGACATGCTAGCAGGCATAGAGATATCAGATAGCTGTGCATGTTCTTAAAGTTCCACTCACGCTGTCAAAAAACAAAAGTCAGCAGCTACAAAAACTGTAGCTGCTGACTTTTAAAAAACAGCCACTTACCTGTCCCTCGGTCCCACGGTGGGTCTCCCGCAGCCCGTTTCACCGGCTGTCCTGTATACCAGGAGGCCGGCATCTTCAGTGTGTGGACACCCGGCTGTGATAGCTTGCGGCTACCCACTGCGCATGCGCGAGTAGCGCTGCGCTTCATGAATGGTCCTGTAGTCTTCTGGGACCCATCACGTCACCTGACCCGTCACAGGGAGGGAGGGAGGACACCTTGATCGGACTGGAAGTGGGAGCGGGTACCTGTCAAATTTAGGTACCCGCTCCCCCTGCCCCCCAAAGGCGCCATTCCTTAATGGGGAGCAGTCCTTGAAGTGGAACTTCATCTTTTGGGTGGAGCTCCACTTTAAGCCAAGGCTGGAGGGTGTGTTTAAGTGAGGGATTGTGTGACATCACATCTCCGCCTACTATTCTCTAGTCCTAAGCCATGCCCACAAACCAGCAGTTTTTGTGAGGCTGAGATAAGCTAAGGGAGCATTTTTCTGATGTACACTCACAGCTGTACGTATATTCACATTTAAATGGAATCATTTTTGTCAAAAAGTAAAATTTTTAATATTTGCATTTACAAACCACTTTAAGCAATAGACTCAAGCCATAACATTTTTTTAATACAAGCTTAGCAACCATCCCCTAAGCTTATCAAAACCACAGCTTAGTCATTAAAAACTCAAGCTTAATAAATTTTAACAACAAAAAGTCCCCCTTTAACTATAAATGTGACCCTACTACATAATAATTAGCATTAAGATGAAAAAAGGGGCGGGATGTAGGAGGAGCACCACAGAGATGCCTCCTGAGGTGAGCTCTCGGGATCGGAGCCCTCTTTATATAGCCCCTCCAAGACCTTCCAGAAAATTCCAGGTGGTCATGTGACCCTCCAGAAATTTTCAGCTGACCTTCTACAAGGCTCCCTACGCACCCACAGATTTGAAACCTGCCTACCACAAGAATCTCCTGAGGATATGAGGGTGGCCTTGAAACCTATGACCCCCTCGCTCAATCAAAGGATCCTTCAAACTTCCTAAGTGCCGCAGTCCCATATAGAAGGGGGGCCTTAAAATTGGCATTTTCCCCCATTCTGTGTACACAGTGTTTCTTTATATTTTCAAGTTGAATTTTCATAGTATCCTCTAGAAACAATTGAGTACAGTCCGTGATACTTATTTTATATGCACTAACATACAATTTTGAGGACAAGCTTTCGGGGTATGTCCCCTTCTTCAAAGTCCAAGCAGTCCTGTACAAATCACAAAGTTTCAGCAGAATGTTAGAAAAGATGAAGAAAAAAAAAAAAAGAAAAAGAAAAAAAGAGGCTAGAGATAAGATACAGCCAAAGCGAGGGGGGAAGGGGGGATACTACACTCACACAGAGGGAGTCAAGCTAGCTAATAGTCATAAAACTTTTGGATAATGAGTGAGGAATCCCATGTCCAAATTAAGGCCGTTATCTCTTGTGATTTTTTTTTTTTCTTCATCTCTTCTAACATTCTGCTGAAACTTTGTGATTTGTACAGTACTGCTTGGACTTTGAAGAAGGGGACATACCGAAAGCTTGTCCTCAAAATTGTATGTTAGTGCAAATAAAAAAAAAGTATCACGGACAGTACTCAATTGTTTCTGTCGCAAATGCACTAATACGGCTACAATCACCTCAAACATAGTATCCTCTGTAATCTTAAAGATGAATTCTAGGTAAGGATATTTTTACATAGTTACCTTGGTCCAGCTTAGACTCTCTTGTGATGGCCTTTCATTCTTTCCTCTTCACCCCCATGTGTACTTGCAAGCCCTGTTCTTTTGGATATGCCATGTATCTCATACATCTCTTTGAGTAACCTCAGACCAGGCATGAAACTGCTAACAGTTTTTACTGACAATCAACAGTTTAATACAGCAGCATCGAGCAACAAGATAGTATTTCCCTGACTACACAGCTACCCAGTTCATACCTTAAAGTGTTACTAAACCCACAACAGTAAAATCCGTCTGTATATGCAGTAAAGCATGCTTGTTATACTCACTTTAGACACTATTATTATTATTATATTATTATACAGTATTTATATAGCGCTAAAAGGTTTGCTCAGCGCTGTACATTATAGTGGGGGACAGAACATGAGACAATACAGTAACAAGACAAAACACGAGGGGGTCAAGGGCCCTGCTCTTTCGAGCTTAAAATCTAGGAGTTAATAACGGGTTAATCCTCTGCATTGTGCAAAAAGACTGTTTGCTCCTGACTTCTCTGATCCTCCTCTTCTTCCAGTGTTCCCTCTTATCTCCTGATAAGACATATCGTGTGGAGACACTGTGCACATGCTCAGTTTGGTGTGTATTGCTAGAGGGGTGTTTTTTTTTTTCTTGGGAGAGTGCATGTGATTAACACAGGGCCAATCAGCACTGTCCAGACAGAGGCCAGGGGTTCTTCATCCTCCAAAAGCAGAAAGAAAACTCCTCCTACAAGCTTTAACCAGTGCTCTGCTGAACACCGATAGAAGTCACAGGACTGCTCTAATTGCTGATGAGAAAAGGTATTTAGCAGTTTATATTTACTAAAATAGTTCCATTTCCATGTTCTGTGTACTGTAGGAGACCAGATATAGTGAATTCAGGATCCTGGGTTTAGTAACTCTTTAAAGTATAACTAAAGGCAAAACATTTGTTTTAGTTTTGGATGGAGTAGCAAAGGATTAGAACACCTGTCAGTTTTTATTGCTGCCTGTGCCCCTGTTAGGGAGATTCACTCTCTCTATTTGTCCTGTTTACCATTATCATTGAAAATGAAAATAGAAAGAAAATCCCACATTTTGGGTTGTCCCCGGAAAAGAGTAAAAGAGGGGAAATCTTCCAATGGAGACACTAGTTCTGGTGACCTAATTTTCAGGGATTTCCTCTCACTTCCTGTTTGGCTATGGGACAGGCAGTGAAGGGAAATCTCTACAATGGGACACATATGGTAAAAAAAGCCTATAGTTCTAGTTTAACAGGTAATGGTCCTTCAGAGTCTTGACCCCAGGGGCGGACTGACAACTCATGGGGCTCCTGGGCAATAGGGGATCATGGGCCCCTGTGTCCTTGCCCACACTCAAAGCACACCCCAAAAAGCCTATTGAGTAGGGGCATTTCATGGGGCCCGCTACTGACCCCGGGCCCTCGGGCAGTGCCCAAGTGCTCGAATGGTCAGTCTGCCCCTGCCTGAAGGGGTGCTCCATTGGTAGCTGTGGTCTACATTGTTCTTCTAGCTTTTTCCAGCAGTTCCCTTCCAAGCAACAACAAAAAGCCTCCTCCCTATTTATAATAGCTCAGGATAGAAGACAGAGGCAAAGGAAACCCTAAGAAAGAACTGAGCAGAGTTTAACACCTTCCGCACCTGAGCAGCCTAAAACTAGCTTACTTCAAAATTTGTGCTA